CCAAATCTTCGTCGATTCAACTGCGGGTTCACCTTCAATATCTCCGCAATACCTTTGTGCACTTTACTAGTGTCAACAATGCCTTTATTAACACATTTATCCATAGCTGGATGTTTTGATCAAGACATCGGCCCACAAGCACTACGAATCCTTTCTGGTCTATTTAACCTTTTATTCTGGGATATGTCCTATTGCAAATGGGTGAACGATCGAACATTATTACAATCAATCAATTGGAATAGGGATCTGAAGTCATTGAGGAAATTAGTTGCCATCGAATGCGGCAATTGGATTGATTTAGAGGAAACCAAACGGAAGTTGTCCTATAATCGTAGAAAGTTTGAATTTTTGACCGTGGTCGGACAAAACGCGTAATAAGAAGATTTTTTATATTTTGTATTGATCCTGTAAAACTTAATAGTAATTTTATAGCAATGGTGTTTTTATTGATTGATTTATAACAAAATATTAAACTATATTTAAAAAATAATATTAAATTATAAAACAAATTTTATTCTATTAAATATACAGTAATATATAATTTTATTATAATAAATAAATTTTTAAAATTTATTTTTTAATATATATAATTTAAAATGCTGGTGTTATTATTACTATTTAAAATAATTTGATAATATTTAATATTTATTATTATTAACAAAATTTTTTTTCTATAAAATTGTTTTTAAAAAATTCCAATAATCTTTAATCTATTTTAATTTAAAAATTAAGATAATAATAAATAATTTGATTTTTTTTATATTATAAAATAATAATAATATTCAATACAAAAGTTTTTAAATTATATGAAATTATTTAATAAATTATTTATTATTATATAAATATTTTAATTCTAGAATATATCTAAAAATAATAAATAAATTTCTAAATTTCTAATTAACTAAAGGTTTTTAAAGTTTTTATATTAATCATTTGTTTTAAAGATTTCTAGAATTTTTTATTACAAAAAACTAGAGTTTTTTTACTTAATTAAATTATTAATATAGAAAATAATTAAATAATTAATTATAAATATTAGTTATATACAGTCAAAGTCAATATAATAGATTCTTGATATAATAGACACTAAGTAAAATCTTAATATACTGGATTGATGTGTATGATTTAATGTTTGTAGCTACTGTATCTACACAAATTGACATGAGAGAAGGAACTTCACGGTTTGGACTACCTATTATGTTGTAATGAGGTTAGTTAAATGTATTCTTACATAATAAATTCACCTGAATATCGTATCCATATATGATGATGAATATGGAATGATGACTAAACCTGGGAGATTTCTCTCTCCATCCCACGCTCCTTTTTTTATTTTACGCACTTTAATTTCCTTAGGAAAAACAATACCCGCAGTATTCCTACCTGCTTCTAAATACCGAGATCTTTGCCAACTTTTGGGTGGTGCTGGACCTGGCACGTGTTGTCTTTCCATTTCAAACTCCCCTTGCGTATTTTGCTCGAGTGTCGCTAATTCGTTCATTAAGTAATTGCACGATGGCAGTGGTAGTAGAGGAAAAATCCCTGCGGAGATTTTGCTTTTAGATCGAGTCTCGTGTCGAAGTTGATCGAGTAGTGAGCTAACGTGTGCTGTTGAACCATCATGTTTGTTTTGTAAATCTAAGGCAGAAACGTTTTTT